ATTTTTCCCTCATGATTGGGATTTCCCCCTCAGGGTTAGAATTTTCCCTTAGGATTTGGGACTTTTCCCTCAGGATTTGGGATTTTTTCCCTCAGGGTTTGGGATTTTTCCCTCGGGGTTTGGGATTTTTCCCTCAGAGTTTGGGATTTTTCCCTCAAGAATGAGATTTCCCTCAGGATTTGGATTTTTCCCTCATGGTTTGGGATTTTTCCCTCAGGATTTGGATTTTTCCCTCAGGGTTTGGGATTTTTCCCTCAAGGATGAGATTTCCCTCACAGTCAAAATTTTTTTCCCTCAGGATTGCCATTTTTCCCTCAAGATTGGGATTTTCCCCCTCAGGATTGGGATTTTTCCCTCAGGGTTTGGGATTTTTACCTCAGGGTTTGGGATTTTTCCCTCAAGAATGAGATTTCCCTCACAGTCAGAATTTTTTTCCCTCAGGGTTTGGGATTTTTCCCTCAGGGTTTGGGATTTTTCCCTCAAGAATGAGATTTCCCGCAGGATTTGGATTTTTCCCTTAGGGTTTGGGATTTTTTCCCTCAGGGTTGGAATTTTTCCCTCAGGATTTGGATTTTTCCCTCAGGATTGGGATTTTGCCCTCAGAGTTGGGATTTCCCCCTCAGGATTGGGTTTTTCCCTCATGATTGGGATTTTTCTGTCAGGGTTGGAATTTTTTCCCCCCAGGGTCAAGATTTTCCCTCAGGGTTGGGATATTTTCCCGACAAGGTTTGGAATTTTACCCTCAGGGCCAAGATCTTCCCTCACGGTTGGAATTTTTCCTCAGGGTTTGGATTTTTTTTCCCTTGAGGTTAGGATTTTCCCCCTCAGGATTTGGATTTTTCCCTCAGGGTTTGGGAGTTTTCCCTCAGGGTTTGGGATGTTTTCTCTCAAGGATGGGATTTCCCTCAGGATTGGGATTTTTCCCTCAGGGTTTAGGGTTTTTTTCCTTCAAGGATGTATTTTCCCCTTAGGATCATGATTTTCCTGTCAGGATTGTGATTTTCCTGTCAGGGTTGGAATTTTTCCTCATGATTTGGGAATTTTTTTCCCTCTGGGTTGGAATTTTTCCCTCATGATTGGGATTTCCCCCTCAGGGTTAGAATTTTCCCTTAGGATTTGGGACTTTTCCCTCAGGATTTGGGATTTTTTCCCTCAGGGTTTGGGATTTTTCCCTCAGGGTTTGGGATTTTTCCCTCAAGAATGAGATTTCCCTCAGGGTTGGGATTTTTCCTTCAGGGTTGGGATTTTTTCCCTCAGAGTTTGGGATTTTTTTCCTCGAGGATAGGATTTCCCTCAGGATTTGGATTTTTCCCTCAGGGTTGGGATTTCACCCTCAGGGATTGGGATTTTTGTTTTTTCCAGGCTGAAACCGGGAAAAAGGAAGTGAAGAGAGAGGATGGGAGCAAAGGAAGGTACAGCCTGCGAGGATTTTTGGGAATTGTATCCATTTCTTTTCCCTCTTGGAATGTTCATCCACGATTAGGGATTGCTGAGCCTCCCTCCAGCTGTGTCCTGCTGCTTCTCCTTCCCACTCCATGTCCTCCAGAGCCAAAATATTTGGGATTCATTAAAAAAAAAATCATGGAAAAATGGCGTGAAATCCCAATTTCTGTGGAGTTTTTCCTTGTTTTTTTCCCCTGCTCATGTCCTGGCTCCTCTTGTTGCTTTTATTCCATCCTGCAGCTCTTCCCTCTATCCCTGCCTCTGGAATGCCTTTTCCCAACTGCTGAATTCCCAGAAATTTTTAGGAATTTTTGTTAAATATGGCTTCGATCCTGTTTTTTTCTGTGATTCCAACTCGAATTTCTGGATGAGTTTTGTTGTTAAAACTCCCAAATTGTGTAAGGATCATTCTGAAATTTAAGGAATTCTGTTATGGAAAAAGCTCTGTTTTCCCAGATCCCGTTTCTTTCTTTGTCATTCCATGAAACTGCTGAATTTTGGGAGCATTAATTCCCAAATTAATGGGAATTTCTTCCTCACAGCCACTTCTTGATTCCAGACAAGTGGAATTCAAAATTAAAATTAAAATGTGACTTTTCCATGAATCCCAACTCCCGGAAAGTTGGAAAGTCCATGTTTTTCCCTGCTCCACACAATTAATTTAATCCATTTGTTAGGGAGCAGAAAACAGCTGAATTATTATTTTAATTCTTAATTATTTTTTCTGAAACTTGAATTAATTAAACTTCACTCCTGGGCTCTGCTTTTCCCAGGTCACATTTTCCATGAATCCAGGGTGGGGGGTTCCATTTAACCCCAGGAGTTTTCCATGCATCCCAATGAAAAACAAACAGCACAGCCAGAAGTGTTGAATTGATGGGAAAATCCCTTTGGAGGATCCCAAATCCCACTCTCCTGGACAATCCTGATTTTTCCAGGTTTTGGAGCAGAAATTCCCTGCTGGAATTCTGCTGGAATGTGTGCTCCAGGGCACAGCCATCCCTAATTCCAGCCCTTCCCAAGCTCATCCCGTGGGATTCTTTCCCTCAGGGAAGTCTGAAATTCCCTGGAAAGCTCCATCCTGTGGCACCTTGGGCTGCGTTATCCCAGAGGTTTTTCCATGGAAATCAGGGATTTTAAACCCAAACCAAAACCTGATCCCAAATCCAAATCTGCTCTCTCGGGATTGGGAGCTGCTGTAATTCCCTTATCCAGGAGCATCCTTTTGGTGGGATATTCCCAGTTTTCCCTCCGTGGGATGGAAATTTTCCAAGGCCTGAGGTCTCCAAAATGTGAATTTTTCACCTCGAGTGCCGCCTTTTCCCACAGAATTCCCAATCCCATTTCCTCATGCTCCAGGAACAACTCCCACCGGTGGCATCCGGAGCTTTCTGAGACTTCTGGAATTCTCTCCCCCCACCATGGTTTGATTTTTGTTTCTTTTAAATGCTTTTAGCTCTGGCTTGAAAAAAATCCCAGAGGGATCAGGAACGGTGCAAACACCAGCTGGGAATCCATCGGGAGAGGCCAAGAAAGGCCAAATTCCCACCCCAAATGTCCCGGAGGAGATTCCAGCGGGACAGCTGGAGATTCCCGAGCCGCAGACGGGAGGAGCAGCCGGGGAATCGCCCACAGGGATGGACGTGGAGGGGTTGGATCCTGGAATTCCCGTGGATCCTGCTGGCAGCGAATCGCCCGCAGCGGGGTCGGAGGAGAAACCGGCGCCGCTTTGCGGAGAGGGCACGGACAAATCTCGGGATGGGCCAGAGCTGGAAATCATCCCAAAGGAGGATGAGGAGCCCTCTGCTCCTGCTGAGGAACCAATGGGATCACCCAGCAGGGCCGGGGNTTTTCCCTCAGGGTTGGAATTTTTCCCTCAGGGTTTGGTATTTTTTTCCCTCAAGGTTGGGATTTTCCCCCTCAGGATTTGGATTTTTCCCTCAGCGTTTGGGATTTTTCCCTCAGGATTGGGATTTTTCCCTCAAGGTTGGGAGTTTCCCCCTCAGGATTTGGATTTTTCCCTCAGGGTTTGGGATTTTTCCCTCAGGGTTTGGGATTTTTTCCTTCAAGGATGGTATTTTTCCCCTCAGGATTGAGATTACCCCCTCAGGTTGAGATTTTTCCCTTCAGGGGTGGAATTTTCCCCTCAGGGTTTGGGACTTTCCCCTCAAGGTAGGGATTTTCTTCAAGGATGGAATTTTTCCTTCAGAGTTTGAGATTTTGTTTTCCAAAAGGGTAGGATTTCACCCAGTATCGTGATTTTTCCCTCAAGGTTGGGATATTTTCCCTTAAGGATGGGATTTCCCTCAGGATTTGGGATTTTTTCCTACAAGAATTGTATTTTTCCCTCAGGATTGGGATTTCCCCCTCAGGATTTGGTATTTTTTCCTTCAAGGATGGTATTTTTCCCCTCAGGATTGAGATTACCCCCTCAGATTGGGATTTCCCTCAGGATTTGGGATTTTTTCCTACAAGGATGGCATTTTTCCCTCAGGATTGGGATTTTCCCCTCACAGTTTGGGATTTTCTTCAAGGATGGGATTTCCCTCGGGGTTGGGATTTTTCCCTCAGAGTTTGGGATTTTTTCCTCGAGGATAGGATTTCCCTCAGGATCATGATTTTTCCCCTCAGGGTTTGGGAATTTTTCTCTCAAGGATGGGATTTCCCTCAGGATTTTTCCCTCAGGGTTTAGGGTTTTTTTTCCTTCAAGGATGTATTTTCCCCTTCGGATCATGATTTTCCTGTCAGGATCGTGATTTTCCTGTCAGGGTTTTAATTTTTCCTCGTGATTTGGGACTTTTTTTCCCTCTGGGTTGGAATTTTTCCCTCATGATTGGGATTTCCCCCTCAGGGTTAGAATTTTCCCTTAGGATTTGGGATTTTTTCCCTCAGGGTTTGGGATTTTTCCCTCAGGGTTTGG